AACTAAGGATGTACAGTTATTGGAAGTTAGACTAGGACTTTGAAGCCAAGTTTGTCAACACAAAACCCAAGGTTTTGATTGCCACTCAATGTTGGCACTTTTTCTTAACACTAGAATCAAAATAAATATCTTCAACACTAATTTGTTAGCATTAGGTCCTACCTGAGAAAAGTCAGCAGAGCAGGTTCAAATCTCTTGGGCTTAATCAGCAAGTATTTCTTGAACATCTAGAATGTATTCAGAAAAGACAAAAAGTAGACGAGACAGGAAATCCTGGCCCAGAAACATTCATAATTTTAACTTGGAAGAAAAGTGAACCCATAGAAAATAATAGCAAACAGAAGAAGAATGAATAGAATTAATGTGGAAAGGGAAAGTATATGGCACAGATTCGGAATTCCTGAAGTGGAGATCACAGGGAGATGACATGAGCGGCAGATTTAGAGCATAACAGACTTGGTCTGAGTCAGGAGGAAAAGGCAATATCTTTGTTATATGCTCTTTCTCTGAACAGACATGCACTATACGCTTGAATAGAGACATGAATCACACTTTCCTCCTGAATACCTCAGTGTTTGTTTCCCAAGAACAAGGGCATTCTTCCATAATTATCACACAGTTATGAGCAAACTGTAACAAATTCAATGTCAATTAAGTATTTATTACCTAGTCCGGTGCCCATATTCAGATTTTGTCAGTATTCTGATATGGTCCCCATGATGGCAGAGCTCTGTTGTAAATGTGAAATGAACATACCTAAACTTTTTCTGATGGGTAATTATAATACAAAACAATTTACACTTGTTTGGTCAAGAAATTGAATATGCATAGTTTCAAGGATCCCTCCTTGTGTTCTTACCAATCTTAACCAGCAAAAGCCTTGATAAGAGTCTTAAACAAATTGGGTATAGAAAGAACATTGTTTAACACAATCAAGGAAATATGTGATTAAACCCACAGCCAGCATCATATTGAATCTGGAAACATTTTCTACTAAGAAGTGGAACAAGACAAGGATGCCCATTTTCACTATTGCTATTCAATATAGTTCTGGAAGTTTCAGCCAGAGTCATTAGGGAAGAAAGAAAGCAAGGAGATACAAAGTGGAAAAGAGAACTGAAATTATCCCTCTGGACATGACATGATTCTGTAAATACGAGAATCAAAAGACTCCACTAAGAGACTATTGGAACTCATATGAGAGTTCTGTAAAGTTGCAGGACATAAAATCAATTCACAAAAATCAATAGTCTTTGTATACACAGAAAATGCCATGACTCAGAAAGAACTAAGTTCAGTATCATTCACAATAGCTACAAAAATTAAAATAACTTGGAATAAATTTGACCAAGGTGTTAAAAGTTCTCTACAATGAAAATTGCAAAACATTAAAGAAATGAATAGATGAAGACACAAAAAAAGGAAGATTCTTCCATGCTTATGGATTGGAAGAATTGATATTATCAAAATATCCATACTGCCCAAAGCAATTTACAGATTCAATGTCATCCCAATAAAAGACCAACAATATGCTTCTAAGATTTAGAAGAAAGGATGCTAAAATTCATATGAACACAAGAGACCCTAAATATCTAAAGCAATCTTGTACACTAAAAAAAGATGAAAAAATGACAATATAAGATATACTACAGCACAGTTTTCATCAAAACAGCCTGGTTTGGCATGAAAATAGATGTGTAGACAAGTCAAACAGAATAGAAACTCCATAAATCAATCCACACATCTACAACTAACTTATCTTTGACAAGGAGCTAAAATCAATCCCTGGAGCTAGGACAGTCTCTTCAACAAATGGTGCTGGGAAACTATGTGCAGAAGTATGAAACAAGACCCCTACCTTACACCTTACACAAGAATAAACTCAAAATGGCTCAAGGACATAAATATATGACCTGAAACCATGAAATTTCTAGGGAAGATCATTGGGGAAATTCTGCAAGACACTGGCATAGGGGAAGACTTCTTGGAAAAAAACCCCAGAAGTACAGGCAATCAAAGTGAAAATAGACAAATGAGATTATATCAAGCTAAGAACCTTAGGCACTGCAAAGGAAATACTCAACAATGTGAGGTGGCAACCCACAGAATGGGAGAAAATATTTGCAAACTATGCAACTGATAAAAGATTGATATCTAGAATCTATAAAGACCTCAAGAAACCCAACAACAACAAAACAAACAATCTAGTTAAAAATTGGCAAATGAATCGAACAGACATTTTTTAAAAAAATAAAATTCCAATAGCCAACAGACACATTAAGAAATGCTCAAGGGCTGGCACCGTGGCTCACTAGGCTAATCCTCCGCCTTGCAGCACCGGCACACCGGGTTCTAGTCCCAGTTGGGGCACCAGATTCTGTCCCGGTTGCCCCTTTTCCAGGCCAGCTCTCAGCTGTGGCCAGGGAATGCAGTGGAGGATGGCCCAAGTGCTTGGGCCCTGCACCCCATGGAAGACCAAATAAGTACCTGGCTCCTGCCATCGGATCAGCGCGGTGCGCCGGCCGCAGCGTGCTGGCCGCGGTGGCCATGGGAGGTTGAATCAACGGCAAAGGAAGACCCTTCTCTCTGTTTCTCTCTCTCACTGTCCACTCTGCCTGTCAAAAAAAAAAAAAAAATGCTCAGGATTACTAGCCATCAGCGAAACGCAAATTAAAACCAAAATGAGGTTTCACCTCATGCCAGTTAGAATGGCTCTCATACAGAAACACACAAACAATAGATGCTGGTGACAATGGGGGTAAAAGAGCACCCTAATCCATTGGTGGGAATGTAAAGTAATACAACCATTGTGGAAGACAGTACGGATTTCCTGAGAAAGCTGAAAATAGATATACCATATAACCTAGCCATCCCACTCCTGAGAATTTACCTGAATGAAATGAAAACAGTGTAAGAACGGGTTGTCTTCACCTCCATGCTTATTGCAGCTCAATTCACAATAGTTAAGATATAGAATCAACACTGGTGTCCAGCTGATGACTGGATAAAGAAAATGTGGTGTATATACACTTTGGAGTACTACTCACTCTTACACAAGACTGAAGTCCTGTCTTTGCAATAAAGTGGATGAAACTGGAAACCATTATGCTTACTGAAATAACCCAGTCTTAAAAAGACAAATATCATATGATTTCTCTGACATGTGGTATCTAATAGATTACAAAAAATGTAATGTAGGAGAATGAACTTGACATTTTGAGGTTTTATTATTGTTTACAGCCCTTGTCTCTGCCATTGAGGAAAGCAGGTTTTGTATTTTCTTTCTTTTTTTGACAGGCAGAGTGGACAGTGAGAGAGAGAGACAGAGAGAGAAAGGTCTTCCTTTGCCGTTGGTTCACCCTCCAATGGCCGCCGCGGCCAGCACGCTGCGGCCGGCACACCGCGCTGATCCGATGGCAGGAGCCAGGTACTTATCTTGGTCTCCCATGCAGTAAAGGGCCCAAAGACTTGGGCCATCCTCCACTGCACTCCCTGGCCACAGCAGAGAGCTGGCCTGGAAGAGGGGCAACTGGGACAGAATCTGGCGCCCCGACTGGGACTAGAACTCGGTGTGCCGGGCCGCAAGGCAGAGGATTAGCCTAGTGAGCCGCGGCGCTGGCATATTTTCTTATTATTTGCTCAATTCTTTCCTGAGGGGAGGTTTAACCTTATGATTATTAAATAAAGTGAAAATATTGACCGGCGCCATGGCTCACTTGGCTAATCCTCTGCTTGTAGCGCCAGCAACCTGGGTTCTAGTCCCGGTTGGGGCGACGGGTACTAGTCCTGGTTGCTCCTCTTTCAGTCAAGCTCTCTGCTATGGCTCAGGAGGGCAGCGGAGGATGGCTCAAGTGCTTGGGTCCCTGCACACCCATGGGAGACCTGGAGGAAGCACCCAGCTCCTGGCTTTGGATCAGTGCGGTGCCGGCCATAGCGGCCATTAGGGGAGTGAACCAATGGAAGGAAGACCTTTCTCTCTGTCTCTCTCTCCCTGTCTATAACTCTACCTGGCAAATAAAAAAAAAAAAGTGAAAATATCACTGCACGAGTTGGAAGGAGGGTATGGTGGGAAGTATCACTATGTTCCTAAAAGTGTATATATGAAACATGTGAAATTTGTTCATCTTATATAAATAATAGTTTTTAAAAGCAAAAGCCTTGCCAGTAATCAAGCCAGTTGCCTCCACTTAAAGAAACCTGCAAGCAAGGTTACTTCAAATATTTTGTGGAAAATGAGATTAAAAAGACTTTTTTTTTGCAAAAAATGCTTTGAAATCTATGCAATTTTACAATGTACATTTTCTGTCAACTTTTTGAAATACCCTCAGATATTTCACAATAACTGATCAAACAGAAGGTTCTTGAGCAACTTTCCAGATGTTGCTGATTGAGATGTCCTTCTGCTACCATGACAAATAAGACAGAGTTAGGTGAATGGCAGGCATGTGACTCCAAGGTGGCCATGCTCATTTTGATGGGACTCATCACTCTGGCAGACCCACCGGCTGAATGATCTGGATGAACACAACTACGCAAAGGTTAAACTCATTCCTGCTTGAGTCAAATGTATTCCCGCCAAAGCTCGGGCTCATTAAGTTTAAGGAATGGAAAAGTCATATTTTCTGAAACACAGAGGAACAAGAAAGGCTTAATTAGAGAGCAAAGGGTGGAATTTAGCAGCTCTAATAAATATGATGTGCTGAATGCATTATCTATTTGACAGAAAACAAATTTTGGAATAATCTGCAGAAAATAGTCTAATTTATGGCAGCTCATTTAAGGAAACTCCTTAAACCAGCATTTAGAGATCATAAAGCATGTTTTAACAAATTCAAGCATGATTCTCTGGAATATGGAAAAATATTTAGTATATAGGAATATTCTGGAATATATTAAGATATTTTGATTGTATTTTAAAGATATAATAGTTCATAAACACTATTCTAGCAGTTTGATATCATCAAATGATAGAGAACACATCTTTTCACTAGTTTTTTCTGATATAAAGGAAATTTTCCATTAGAAAACTGTTTTATGGGACACATTTGATCTTTGATTGCTGTTGCCTGTAACACATTAGTTGCCTTCCATTTTTCTCAGAAACCCAAATGGGAGCCCTCCCTCAACTCTCTTTAGGCTTTAGACACAGTGACCTACTTTCTGATACCAGGATATTTCTGGCCTTTATATCAGCTCCTTGCCACTGCCTAGATTCCTCTCCATGTGTGCTTATCTGCCTAGTTTATTCTCATGGTGTAGTGTCTTTCACAGAGCTGTCTTCTCTGACTATGTTAATTCCAAATTTGCTCCCCTCTAAAGTCCAAATTTGTCTTCCCACTCTGATACTCTCCCTTTCTGTGTAGTACTTGCTGAAATTAGCCCTGGTCTTTATTGATAGCCTGTTTTTCCTGTACAACACTCCATTGACTGATCTTGTTACATAATCTGATCTCATCATTTCCAAGAACAGAACCCAACAGGTGCTAGGTCTCCAACATGTCAATATAAATATAAATAAATAAGTAAATAACATGGAGAGAAACTGGGGTAAATCCCAATTGCACAACTCCTACCAGTCTGAAAAATAATGCAGTTTAACAAGATATGTTTTAGAAATTGCCTATTTTTTAAAGATTTACTTTTATTTATTTGAAACACAGAGGTACAGAGAGAGGTAGAGACAGAGAGAGGTCTTCCATCCATTGGTTCATTCCCCAGATGCCCACAACGGCCGGAGCTGTGCTGATCCGAAGCCAGGAGCCAGGAGCTTCTTCCAGATCTCCCATGCGGGTGCAGGGGCTCAAGGACTTGGGCCATCTTCTACTGCTATCCCAGGCCATAGCAGAGAGCTGGACTGGAAGAGGAGCAGCCAGGACTAGAACCGGCGCCCATACGGGATGCTGGCGCTTCAGACCAGGGCTTTAACCTGCTGAGCCACAGCGCTGGCCCCAGAAATTGCCTGTTTTAAATTTATCTAGTAAAAGTGTTCAATAATGACAATAATATAAGTAATATCTTCTTTGTGTAATTGTACCAATTTTCCTATGATGGAACAGAAAACAAATTTTTGTCAGTGGGAAGACTAAATCCAGAATGGCCCACACACTTATTCAAGTCAGGGAACATCAGATTAAAAAGTCAAGTAATAATTCAAACTAACTTCACTTTGGGGCATATAGATGATTTCTGCCTTTTCTGTTTATTGGATTGTATTTTGCTTTCATAAAGAAAGCTTTAAAAGATTCTGACAGCTATACTTTTCAGCATGTTCACACTCAGTTGCATAATTATATTTTAAATGAGATATTACATTAATAATAAAATAATTTATTCAATGTATAAGTAATATTAGAGCTATTATCATTTTATAACCATGATCTCTTCACAGAGTGTGACTTTTATCTAAGAATTTTAACTGTAGCAATTATTATTATTACTTTGTTTTTTATTTATTTTTAAAAAAGATTTATTTATTTGATAGAGTTACACAGAGATGGAGAGGCAGAAGAGTAGAGAGAGAGGTCTTCCAACCGCTGGTTAACTCTCCGATTGGCCACAATGGCTGGAGCTGTACCGATCCGAAGCCAGGAGCCAGGAACTTCTTCCAGGTCTTCCACGTCGGTACAGGGGTCCAAGGACTTGAGCCATCTTCCACTGCCTCCCCAGGCCATAGCAGAGAACTGGATCGGAAGTGGAGCAGCTGGGTCCCAACCAGCGCCCACATGGGATGCCGGGACTCCAGGCGGTGGCTTTACATGCTAAACTACAGTGCTGGCTCCTATTGCTTTCAGCTTTAAGCACTTAGATGCCAACCCCTACAAAAAACACTTTGTAAACAAAATCTAATTTATATATATATATATATATATATATATATATTTGACAGGCAGAGAGGACAGTGAGAGAGAGAGAGACAGAGAGAAAGGTCTTGCTTTTGCCGTTGGTTCACCCTCCAATGGCCACCGCAGCTGGCGCACTGCGGCCAGCGCACCGCGCTGATCCGATGGCAGGAGCCAGGTGCTTCTCCTGGTCTCCCACGGAGTGCAGGGCCCAAGCACTTGGGCCATCCTCCACTGCACTCCCGGACCACAGCAGAGAGCTGGCCTGGAAGAGGGGCAACCAGGACAGAATCTGGTGCTCCGACTGGGACTAGAACCCAGTGTGCCAGTGCCGCAGGAGGATTAGCCTAGTGAGCCGTGGCGCCGGCCCCAAAATCTAATTAGTATTTAAAATGTTTACATGAAAAAAATAGTACCATAATGACTTATGCAAAAATTTGACAAAAATTATCTTAAAGCTTTACTTTTTTAGATAAGCAACTTTAGTATCAAAATAAATTTTTATACTTTTCATGGTATTGTCAATGTTATACACAACTACTTATTAAAATTTAATTTTGAAGAATGTCAAATATATACTGGCCTCAAATTTTCACCTTTCCCTATGCCTTTCCTTTTGCCACATGACTATGTTGCCTGCTACTCTTTGCTATGTTGTCGCTCCCCCATTCGTGGAGGAATGACACAGGACCCTGCGCTGTTCTTTCGTCTGCTCGGCCCTCCCCGGGTTTGCTGCTGGTTCTTCCCGGGTTGGCTACTGTCCCTTCCACCTCCGTGGAAGGGCGGCTCCCCCTGCCACTTTCCCCACTTCCGCAGGGGAGCAGCACACCGCCGGCCAGCTCTCTTGGGGGCTGCTCAGATTTATCCGGATGTTCCCCTTAGATGTTCCTGGTGCATGTTGTCTCTCTCCTCCTTTATAGTCCTCTTCCACCAATCCCAACTCTGCTACCCACACGCCGAGTACTCTGCTCTCCTCCAATCAGGAGCAGGATCAGCTCCTGCAGGTTATTGGTCGAACTGGAGGCAGCTGTGCAGAAGTTGTTTACTCCTCTCCCAGCGCCATGTTGTGGGAGAGCAGATGCATAGAATAAGTCTTAATTCCAGTAACTTAGTCTAGTCCGAGTTGCTCCCCACACTATGTGACTTGCTGGGATCAATAAAACGAAGGTAGTTTCAGGCCAAAGCCTTATCAGGCTTCACATGTTTCTTTTTTCCCTCTTGCACCTCTACCATAGCAATACAAACATTACTGGTTGTCCTGTTGAAGCATGAGATATTTGTGAAGCATGCTGGGTCACTCCAGTCCTCCAATCAGTCCTCCAACCCAGTCTTCCAACCACAGTCACCCTAGGCTAGTTGATAGCCAGCTGAAAGCAGACACAGGAATGAGCCCAGCCAAGGTCAGCAGCACCAATCACAGTTCACAGTTGACCAGAGAAGGATGGACTGTGTATATCTAGTGGGTTGGGCCAGTGGAGTTTCATGATTGTTATAAAGCACTGTTATAATAACTAACTGGTACACATACAAGAATATAGAATAGAGATAATGTTAGGACACACCCTGTGTTATCTAGCGCTCAGATTCAACATCAAACAATACGTGGCCCATCTTGCTTGATGTAAACTCACCACTTCCATTTTTTTTTTTAAATCAAATCCTACACTCTGGAGTTTGCTGATCACATCCCTGTGATGTTACTTACTGTGTTCTGGCTTTTATTTCTCAATAACTTGTTTTATTTAAGGATCCAACTGGGTTCAGGTTTCATTTTTTGGGGCAGTAATACTTCAGAGATGGTTATGAATTCATTAATTACATTATCTGAAGAGCTCATCATGTCTAATATTCCCTCTTTTTATTTTTTCAACAATTTTCTATTTATTTACATAAAGTGAACAAATTCATGTATTTCATATATACAGATTTAGGACAATAGTGATACTTCCCACTCTCCTTCTCCTTCCTTTTTTACTTTTTCTTTTAATTTTTAAAATGGCATAATTTCAGTTTATTTTAAAAGCATAAGATTAACCCTCCACTAAGTAAATAATTCAATAAAAAGAAAAAAGAACACAAAGGTAGAGACAAGGGCTACAACCAGTAATTAAACTCTCTCTCTCTCTCTCTCTCTCTCTCTCTCTCTCTTTCATATTAATGTTAAACAGAGGTTTAGGTGTTGCCAATCCAATTCATTCATTAAAGATTCCCATCAGCATTTCGCTTAACAGTTTTAGGACCATTTAGTGGTCTTTACTTAAATCAATTATCTGCACTTGAGGCTGCCAAATTGTGGAGTTTTAATTCTATTATTCCTTACATATTTATTGCCTGTATTTTTCACATAAAGAACTTTCTCTCAGTGACTGTTTGGATAGGCTGATGTACAAATTGCTCAGAATTAATTCTTCCCCTTTATTGATCAGTTTTAGAAGAGTTAAATTGGTTCCTGAAAATCCTCCAAATATGACTAATGAGTTTGCGTATTTTTGAGAATCAAAATGAACTCAATGATGTAGCTTATTTTGGGTGTTTTAACTCATTGGAATAATGATATGGGCAGTTCTAAAAGGTAAAATATTTAATCATTATGTTTTGTATGACCACTTGCAGTATACATCCATTTCAACAAGGCCTATCTATAATATCATAATCAGGCCTACTGTTTCTGTTCTCCTGACTACTTAATATTAGCTATAAAAAGTATATCTATCCTATTTGCCAAAAAAATCAGTCTACTGTCAGTCAGCCTTCTGTATATTCATTGTGAGTATAAATGTCTTTTCAGAGGGAAATTTTAAAAGATTATTCATATAATTTATTAATTCACTTAATACTAATTGAGTGCTATGTAATTCAGACATTGTTACCTGGATTTTTCACATAAAGAATGTTTTCTCTATGACTGTTTGGATACAGTGATGTACAAATTGCTCAGAATTAATTCTTCCCTTTCATAAAAAGGGAATTTTTTTAATCTTATTTAGGAAGAAATTTGAGCATTACTGTTTTTTAAAAATGCAAAAAGTATTAGAAATTATTTGTGTGTATATGTGTGTGAGTATGTGATTCCAGGACTAGATATGCTTGATTTGGAAAAGGGCTTTAGAGGTCTCTGAGATAGATAAGCCTAAGATAAAAAAATTCCTCTGGAATTTCCCGAGTGTGATTCTTGGTTAGGAAATTTTAGTTATTGCTACTGGGAGATGACTGGCAAAACAGGGAGCATTAGGCACTTTCTGCATTGCCCTTTTATCAGGAATAACTATATGGTAAATAGAAACTGGTTTTTTAAAAGGCAGCTTAATCCTCTTCCCACTGACTTCTATCGCCTTAATGCCTCTCTCCTAATTTGTCTTCATTTTCACTCCTTCACACTTCTTATTCCACAGGAAAATTTAGCTACCAATCGATATTAATTTATACCAAATGCCGAAAATGTACCAACCTAATTAGGTAAATGATGGTGATCTGAAGATCATTTCTGTTTCCTATCATAGTGCAAGTTGTTTAATTCTGTACTGAACATGTAGAATATAGAAATAATTTTGCTTTATAGTAAATGAGGGAACATTAATATAAGTAATACATATTTACTGTAAAAGTTTGGAAAACATTGAAGAGCTCACAAAATAAAAAAAAATGAAACCCATATAATCACATCACTCTTACACATATAGGCATAAAAGCTGTCTTTTGCAAGGTGAGAAAAAGATAGATTTTGGAGCTTTGATAGTACGTGATGTATTTCTTTCCTTAGAAGTAAAAATACATAATTAAGTGTCCATTGATGAGTTAATAGGTAAAGAAACTGTGTACATATATATGTATATATATCTACATATATATATATTACAACAGTCTACAGAAAGAATATTTTGCTGCTTGCCACAATATGAATCAACTCAGAGAAACTTATTCTAAGAAAAATAAGCCAAAACAAGAAAGAAAAATATTGTATGATCTCAGTTATATGTGGAATCTTAAAAATAAAAAGGCTAACTACACGGAGATAGAGATGGTAATTACCAGGATCTGGTGGTGGAGAGGAAATGGAGAGATGGAGGCCACAGGATAAAGTAGTAGATATGTAGGACTAACAGGCCTAAAATTCTGATGTTCAAAATGAAGACTGTAATTCGTAATAATGTGCTATACTCAGGATTTTTGTTAAATGAGTAGGTTAAAGCTGCTTCTGTCATAGGGTTGGGGGGAGGAAGAAGGGTGGCAGGGGAGATAGGTTACTACGTGAGATGATAGATATGTTAATTTATTTCACTATATTAATAATTTTATTATATATGCTGTATGTTAACATGTTACATCCCTTAAGTATGCACAATAAAATTTATTTTAAGACATAGTAGTAAATTTAAGGCTGTCTTATAAAAGAAATCTAAAATATATCCTGTACTGATACATAGGGAAGATCTAGGAACGTAAGTGGGAATTCTAGAAGTGAAGTTCTGGTTCAATTCAAATAAATTTGGTTTTCTATCATTTTAAGTTCATCAGTAACAGTAGAATGCTAGAGTTAACTTGTACTTATTCAGGAAAAATAACTGTTCATTTTTAAGGAAACTAACAAGTAGACAAATATCATAATTGGTAGCTTAAAATTGATCATTATCCCCTGAAATCGGCAAATGCTACAAGTAAAAGCTTCCTATCTCATCTTCTGCACACCACAGCCACAGAACACAGAGCAGTAATGCACAGGCATGAACCAGGCCAGGTGTCTAAGTATGTGTAGTGGTTAAGAATGTGTAAAAGTCCATATGGGGACAAAGAAGAACCCTGTGTAGGAATAGTCACTCAGTTCTTGCCATGTTTCTCTGTGAGCAAAGAGACCCGGTATTTTTAGTTTCACAGTTTTATGGGGGAAACTCAGAAATCTGGATTTTCAAATGTAAATTCTCTTAATTTTTAAATACCATTCAAGAGCAGGATAAAAGATGCTCTTACATTGAATACCAGCCATGGGCCAACTTTTTCGCTTTTGCTAACAACAACAACAACAACAACAAAAAAAAGAGTTCCTATTATGAATGCTTTCTAGTTTGACATGTTGAGTGTATTGTTGCTTTGAATAAAGGATTAAGTAGATGATGGGAAAGGCCCTTCTATTTCAAAGACCTCCATAACTTTGTGATCATACACTTTCCTTTTCTGAAATGCCTTTAATTGTTGGGGCCATCAATTATTTATGGTCCTGTGATATCTCACTGTGGTTGTGTTAGATTCTGCTTTATCTTTTACATCAAGAGAAACCGAGATCCATATTTGGAGAAATCTTGGAGGCTTCTTATGTTATGGCATCTTAGAATATCAGGGATGGTGGAGGCTTGACTAATCAATCATTCTATATGCGTTTTAATCCAGCATCCATGAGTAAACTCAGATGGTGGTTGTGAACCTAATGAGAAAGTCCATAGATTTCATTCATGCTTCAAATGTCCATGATCCCCAAATGGGAGAGAACCACCAATATGTTAAAATTTTCTAGTCATTCAACAAAGATTTATTGAGTACGGGTTGGATGTCAGATTCTATGAGTAAACATGAATAGACACCTTTATATCTCTTCACAGAGCCTGAAATCTAGAAGAGAAGACATGTGGTTAAAAAACAACTCCAACAATGCAGGGTTATCCTGGGGCAAAAGAAACAAAATATTGGAAAACTCATAAACTGCATACCTACCCTAAGGTAGGAGGGATGTGGTGCAGTGTTATCAGAACAGAGTACTGAAGAAGTAACATTATCTTAATATCAGGAGAATTAATAGTAATTGGGTAGTTGAAGAGGGTTGTCTTGTATAGGTAAGGACCACGGAATAAATGCAACAATTCCATTTAACACAGGAAGAAACTGAGACCTAAAGAACCAAAAAATTTTTAAGTGAGATGAATGAAACAGATATTGAAGAAAAGTTTGATAGAGGAACAGATATGAGTAAGCAAATAATGAAACAAAGACTCCACTGTTGGGAATATTAGGAATGTTCATTTTCCTCTCACCTGGGAATTATCCACTTGTATTGGAAGCTGAGAATGCAGTCACAACATCATGGGTAGAATCAATTAACCAACCTCATGAGGTCAATTCTTTTCCATTGATTATGGCTTTGGTGGACTTGGCTATGTTCTTGCCTGTTGGAATTATTCCTGCTTTGACATGCAGACCTGCTTTGAACCCATCAAAAGTTTAAGCAAGTATACAGGGGGTGGCCCACACCTGCAGAGCCTCAAATACCCTGTCCTTTCTCTGTAGAGTGGGCTGTTGGGAAACATTATCTGAGTAATCCCAAATTCTAAAAGAATCTAGGATGAAGTTTCTTGCTCGTGCCTCATGACAAATTTTCAGACATATGTTCAGATAAGATCTTTCCAGCCTTGCTTTTTAAAAATACAATCACTGGAATATTTGCTCCTTATTTCTCTCTTCTTTTTCAGGAGTCATAAGATTATAAACCTCCAAACTCTGAGGTACTCACTTTTATGGAATGAATATTAATAATAAGTGCAATTGTGTTAAAGAAATATTTTTCTGTCACTGCCAAGATGTTTGGGTACCAAGGGCCCAAAGAGTAGGAAACAAAGCTTCCGGACACCTACATGTAAGATTTACTAAATAGGATGCTCATGTAATTTATCCCAAATCGGACAATTTTGAGAGTGAAAAGAGAACACAATTAATAATCACACTGAATTGAGAGTGTAAAATAGTCTGTAGTCAGTTGACCCTTACCCCAGTATCCACCTCTAACCAGAACAAGAGACAAAGAGGACAGAGTATTGATAGCTTCCTCAAGCTAAGGAAAGGAAACCCAAAAGTGATAAGGTGTTTATATTGCTATCTGAGTAACTGTTTAAATAAGTGGTCTCTCAGACCACTAGCATCACAAAATATGTCCACTTCCTAGTTCCCCAAACTGGTGAATGTGACCTCATTTAGAAATGTGTCTTGGAGAAGGAACTGTGGTGCTCCAGATCAGACTGCCAGTTGTAACACTGGTACTTCTTATTAGAGGGTCAGTTTGAGTCTAGGCTGCTCTGCTTCCAAGCCAGCTCCTTGCTAATGTGCTTGGGAATTCAGTGGAAGATGGTCCAAGTACTTCGGCCTCTGCCACCCCTGTGGGAGAACTAGATGGAGTTCCAGGCTGCTGACTTCAGCCTGGCCAGGCCTGGCTGTTTTTGGTCATTTGGAGAGTGAACTAGCAGATATAAAGATAAAATATTCTCTCTCTCTCTCTCTCCTTCTCTCTCTCTCCCTGTGTGTGTGTGTCTTGCTCTTTCAAATAAAATAAATCTTAAATAAAATCAAAAGTTTGTCTTTTCATACATAATTAAGGATCTTGAGATAAGGTTACCCCAGATTACTCAGGTGGGCTTTAAATCTGAAGACAAGTGTCCTTTTAAGAAGCAGAAGGCAGAGCTGCAGAGGATTCCTCATGAAGACAGGCCAGAGAATGGAATCACGCAGCCATGGCCTAGGCATGCCTAAAGTCACCAGCTGACACTTTGACTATGACCCTGTCTAAATAAGATCGGAGCTGGTGAACTCAAGAGGCTTCCATAGCCTTGGCAACTCGTGACAAGAGCCTAGGGTGATTACTGACATCATAAACAAGACTGTCAATTGTTAAATCAACAACAGGAGTCACTGTGCACTTACTCCCCATGTAGGATCTCTGTCTTTAATGTGTTGTACTATGTGAATTAATGCTATAACTAGTACTCAAACAGTACTTTACACTTTGTGTTTCTGTGTGGGTGCAAACTGTTGAAATCTTTACTTAGTATATATTAAATTGATCTTCTGTAGATAAAGATAATTGAAAATGAATCATGATGAAGAATGGGATGAGAGAGGGAGCAGGAGATGGGATGGATGCGGTGGGAGGGAGGTCATGGGGGGAAAAAGCCGCTATAATCCAAAAGTTGTACTTTGGAAATTTATATTTATTAAATAAAAGTTAAAAAATTAATAAACAAGACAATTTAAGATAAAAAATAAAATAAAACAAAATAATTTCCATATTAAAAAATAAATAAAAAAATAAAGTCACCAGCTGAAAGAGGAAAGGAGGCGGACTCCCCCAGAGTCTGTCAATGGAGGGTCGTTTCTGGAGACCCTTAATTTTGGCTGCCTGCTTCAAAAGCTGCAGAAGAAAATTCTTCTTGTTTAAATTATGAAGTTTTTGATAACTTGTTATGGCAGCCTTAGAAAACACATACACATGTCCATACCAAAATGGAGCATAAGAGGATCTTTGACAGATTATTGTGTCTTTAGGTTTTCAGTTTCAGAGCCTGACACCTGCCCCCTGCAATGTCGAAGTGAGGAAAGAAGATGACAGGATCAGCTTGACTTCCACAGGGAACAGGACAAGGATGCATGTAATGGGGCATTTCTGAGGGAAACTACCTACACCTCTAAAGAGTAGAACATTCCCACGAGGGCTGATTTCAGAGATAAAGCATATACTCCTGGGGCGAGAGTGGAGTCTATTACTTACTGCTGAGCAAACTATCCCAAAATTTAGCAGCATTAAACAGCAAACATTAACACAGTTTCTATCAGCTGGACAATTTAGGCTCACATTCTCTTAGGAGGCTATCTGCAAGCTGATGGCTGCAGTTATCTGAAGGCTTGCCTGGGGCTGCTTGTTCTGTAGTGAAACTCATTTTCATGGCTGTTGGAAGGTGCTTACAACATAGCAGCTACATTTTCTCAAAATAAATAATGAGAGAGAAACAGAGATGGGGAAGGAACAGAAAGAGAGACAGGAGAGAGAGAGAGAGAGAGAGAGAGAGAGAGAGAGAGAGAGAGAGAGAATTTACAACCCAACCTCAGAAGTGATATACCATCATTTGCCCTGTATCCAATCCTGGTACAATGCAGGACTACACAGAGGTCAATACCAGGAGAGAGGAAATCATTGGAACTCACCTGGCTGACTACCAGGTGAATGAGTTTAGAGGTTAGAGAGCAAAGATACGTCGTAGCCACCGATGATTACTTCAGTCAGGAGGTAACCTGCTACTGTGGTGGTGACAGCATGGCTTTCCTAAAAGCTGGGAAGGCATCACAACACACAGAGAGTCACTGGACATCTGATATCAAAAAGGGTATCTGACAGCCAAGAGAGAATGACAGTACCTGCTAAAGAAAACATTCCCCATTGCCCTTTCTTTCTTTTTGCCACTATTTCCCCCTCTCTGAAGTATTCAGAAGAAACAACAGAGATAGTTGGAGAGAAAGTGTTTTAATAAAAGGAGAGAGAGAGTTTCTGCTAATCAACCGAAATGTGGAATAGTTGTAAGCTAGTGGAAAAGTAGAATCTCTGAACCTGATGAGAAACTGAGGTTTTTGTTTGTTTTTATTATTAAACATTTTAAATTAAGAACAAAGTTTTTTTTTTTTTTTAATTTGAGAGACCAAGAGAGAGGGAGATGGAGAGAGAGAGAGAGAGAGAGGGAGAGAGAGAACTCCCATTCATTGGTTAACTCCCCAAATGCTTGTAATGAGTAAGACCAAGCCAGGCCAAAGTTAGGATCTGGGAACTCAATCCAGGTCTCCCACTTGGGTGGCAAGAACACAGTTATGTGAGCCCTCACTCTTGCTTGATTACTATGGTGCGTGCTATCAAGAAATTGGAATTTGGATGTTTCCTAAAGCAGGGATTTGAACCCAGGCACTCCAATTTGGAATACAGGTATTCAAACATATGCCTTAACTACAAAGCTAAACACCCCACCTGAAAGACTTTGTTCATATGCAAGGGAATAGTTCAATTGACCCATTCGTAGCAATCATTCATATTTTACTCCCTTCATTCATTCATGGATTTGTTCCTTTTGTTGTATTGTCTTCATCTTCTCTTACCCCTTATTATCTCCTAGCCTTTTCTGATCTACATGGCTCAGAGGTCTTCTGCTCCTTGTGGCTTTGGTGGAGCCTAGAACCCAAATCCCAGGGCTTCAACATGGTGTTCCCCTGCGTTGTCTTCTAGAGGCATCAGTTAATGCCACTTTTGACTCACAGAGCTCTAAGACAGAGAAAGGAAGTGGAGAAAGAAGAAAGAGACAGACAATGGGCATTGACAAACAGACGCAGAAACAGGCTCCTTGGACCAGGGATGGAGGGCTTCAGGCAATTTATGCTGAAGGCTGTGTAATGTGCAGAAGCTGATCAAAGACCTGGGGAAAATTTTTATATTCAAGGTGTAACAAAGATCAACATTGTGGGTACAGTTAACTTGAATCTGAAACTAAAAGTCAAGAGTAGGTGTTCATCCCAGATCAGCTCCTAATTTGCAATGCAATGTAGGTCAAATCACATCATCTCTCTGGTCTCTAGGGTCTTCTATTACAAAAATCAGGAGTAGGCATTGACAAGCTATTTCCTAGAACAATGTCTTTCAGCCATTTTGTTTTTCTTATTATTACCATCATTACCACCCTAAAGATCCTATTTTAATATTTTTCTTAACAGTTACCCATGAAATATTAACACATACATATATATATATTAATATTTACTAATATTTACCATATGCCTGTCTGATGATGCTTATACACAACAAAATAAGATCTCCTCCACACACACAATTAATTGTCACTGTTTTGGGAGTAACACCACCCCAGTTTTTGAGACTATATGATGAAGACTTTAAAAAGTAGACAATAATTTTGAAAAAAATGGAGCATGAAAAATTTATGAAAGATCACTTTCTCAGTTTAAGACAAAAATGTTCTGAAAATTAAATCAATGAAAGGGATGTGCTGCTACACCATGGGGCAGAGTATCATCTTGAGACAGATTCATATATATATATATATATATATGCATCTAGGAGTTTTAGGAATTTATTATGACCATTTTGGTATTTCAAAATCAGTGAACAAAAGAGGATTCAGGGGAAAAAAGGATCCTTTGGGGAAAAAAAAAAACTAGATTCCTACACCAACTGCATAAATAATTTATAAGTGGATTTAAGAGCTAAACCTGTAAAGATAACATAAAATGTTTAGAAAATCAAAAATATTTTATATTTTAATTTTTTTGTTCTTTCATTGCTCTTCTAATTGTTTTTTATTTTACGATAGTCATCTAAAGATACACCTGATAGTCTCTTTCATATTGCTCCAATATTTTTAGTTAGCTCTCTGGGACTTCTTCTGTATCTTCTGTGTGCAGATCTCTTTCCTTCATATGGTGGCTTCTTTCTTCTTGTGGTTTTTAATCTTTTAGTGTGAGTTCATCTTTGGCAGTATTGTGGCCTGGCCTATGAGAGAAGATCTAAAGATTGTTTTGCCATCTGTGTATCCTGGAACCCCAAAGGTGAATTAATCATTGTTTGGGAATCTCATACCACAAAGATAGTGTAAATTCTTATCTCATAAACCTGCAAAGTAGAGAGGCTTCAGTTTCTCCTTGTAGACCGTTTTGTCTCTCCACTGAAAGTCTGTAGAAAACAGTAAATATTTCTACTTTTTTACTGACAGAGCTACAAGGCTTTTCAGAAAGTGCTCAGTTGTAGATTCCTGCCTTTCACATGGTCCTGAGGAACACAAGGACTCACAAAAGCCACCTAGATGACCTGGGTTTGGACACCTGCCACACAAGAGGCTTCAACCACCGACTTGTGTTAGTTACTAGGACAGGCTGATAGCCATCCTGCAGGCAGGTGAAGTGGAATTTCCCTCCTGACTGCCCACCCCTACACCCACACCCACCCCCAACCAGTAGAAAAACAAGTATCACTGAGTAGGGAGAAGAGGAGGAGATAGGAATTTTAGGTGGAACCATGATGAGTTCGCAGTTGATTAAATTATTGAGAGATCAGGCTCATGTTTTATTAAAAGGCTTGCAAGGGGGATAATAAGGAGGAACATGGTCTGAATATTTGTCTCCTATCAAAATTCATATTGAAATCCAGACCTCTAAAGTGGTATTTGAAAGTGAGGCCTTTGGGGGATGGTTGGGTCACAAGAGTAGAGCCCTCATGTTGGAAATGACTGCTCCTCTAAAGAAACCCCAGGGAGCTACTTAGACCCTTGCACCATTGAAGGTGGAGCTAAATGCTGCCATCTATGAGCTAGAAAGCAGGCTCTCACTAGACACCTTGATCTTAGAGTTCCCAGCTCTACCATTGTGAGAAATAAATTTCAGCCGGCGCCGCGGCTCACTAGGCTAATCCTCTGCCTTGCAGCGCCGGCACTGGGTTCTAGTCCCAGTCGGGGCGCTGGATTCTGTCCTGGTTGCCCCTCTTCCAGGCCAGCTCTCTGCTGTGGCCAGGGAGTGCAGTGGAGGATGGCCCAAGTGCTTGGGCCCTGCACCCCATGGGAGACCAGGAGAAGCACCTGGCTCCTGCCTTCGGATCAGCACGGTGCGCCTGCTGCGGCTGCCATTAGAGGGTGAACCAACGGCAAAGGAAGACCCTTCTCTCTGTCTGTCTCTCTCTCACTGTCCACTCTGCCTGTCAAAAAATAAAAAATAAATTAAAAAAAGAAATAAATTGCAGTCGT